CCTCTGCACGTAGATTCAAAACTAAAACTAAAGACCTTTAACAAAACCATGTATAACTTTTGATAGCCTTTTGATGTAATTCTTGTACTATTCTATAAAATTAAGTAAAAATTCATGCTCAGACACGTCATTGTGTTGTTGGTGTCTTTGACAGATACTAGCGCAACATTTATATTTGATTATTATTTAATGGATACTAAAATATGTTATCGAGGTATACATGAATTTAAATTAGGATTTGTAATTAGTATTTTTTTTAAATTACCTGAAGTAGAGGATAGACAGTCTGCTACTTTACCAATGCAAAGTCTTGTATTAATCATTATAGCTTAGTATAATTTTGGTTTGCTGATTAATTTAATGTATATTGTATTGCTTAATATATTACAGTAATAATTCATAAATAAATTCATTTATTCGTTCTGTAGTAAGCTTAATTTTTATGCTGATTATCTTGAAAACAAGAATTTAAAATATAACAAATGCTGGTACTCTATGGTATATTATGCATGTAAACAAAGACGTTGCAAAACTCAACATGCATGCATAATCCAATGTGTGTAACCATGATGATTCACAGCTACTTCGTTATTTACATTGCACCAAACAATCAGTTTCATATTCACTGCATCTGTTTTCATATGCCTACAGTATATCTGTAGGGTTGGGGTTATTGGTTAATGATTTGACAAAACTTTTTTCTCTTCCTACTGTAGCTTCCAAATAAAATGGAATAGAAATTTATGAAAAATATGAAAAAGTAAAGAAAAATTAAAATATCGTAATTCTTTGTTTTTAATGATACCTTGAGTGCAACGCATTCTAATATTGTGAATGCCTACCACACTTACATTCTAAGTATGCAGCAATTTAGGCATGAATTTTTTTAATAACTTATTTAACAAACTTTTTTTTTGTCAGTAGATCAAAAAATAAAAGTAAAATGTTGTTTTCTTAAGTTAGTATGATTTTCAAGTATCTTTGGCAGAAGAGAAAATAAAAATAAAATTTTATTGATGGATGTAAACAGTATTAAACTGATAAATGCTTTAATGTAATTGGAGATTACAGAGGAGCAGAGGGCGTGATCAAAAAAATAAAAACTTTTTTTTTTTGAATTTCCATTTTTTGTGGCAGAATTAATTTTTTTATTTGAAGTCAATAGCCTGGTTCTCACGAGAGCCCTAGTATCCAGATCAGGAGCTAACCGTTAGCACTAACCGTTAGCACCTGTGTGAGAACACCTGAATGGTTAGCGCTAACCGTTAGCGGTATCCGGATACCGCTAACGGTTTGCAAGCGCTATCGGTTAGCAAGTGAACACGTTTCTATCATCAACCAATCACACATGTACGCGTTTACAATTTCCAGTTTCTTATTGGCTAGTGATTCGATCATCATATTCTTGGTATCCGGATCAGGATTTTCTCGTATGGATACACGGCAGCTAACGGTTAGCAGGATCCGGATCATGCTAACCGTTAGCTGCCGTGTGAGAACATAGCCATCCTATGGTCAGAGGGTTCGCCAAGTTAAAGTCTTGCCTTGCGTACCAACTGAACCATAAATGCTCAAGATCAGATAAAAAAAACAAAAAAAACAACCCAAATTTGCCAATCAAGGCAGGGGAATATTACACTGGAAACAATAAACCTAGGATTAACTGTTTCTATCACAAATAAGAGTGATTTTGCTACCAACAGAATAAAATAATACCAAAATATTTCATTTTCCATCCATTTGAGTCATATGATCTGTGACCTTCAAAATACCTTATTTTTTCCCAAACTCAACTCTAATGTTTGGATAAACAACCATCTTTACACTTCCATATGATGCAAATGGATGAAGGTTGTTCTATGGTTTACAGTAATATCACATGTCAGTTTATCAACCTAAAAGCCTATTCTCAGCTTATAGATAAACTTTGTTTTTACTTCAAACAGAGGTGTTGTTGAAAGTTATTTTAATAAACTTTAGTAGGCCTCTACAGAGGTGTGACCAATACTAGTCTCCCAGTGGGAGTGTCTGTTACTGCTGGATAGTTTATTTTTTTTGGCTAGTTTGAACTCAACTCTTCCACGCTTTCTGGGTTGGCAATTCACCTGAATAACTCTACAAGTAACAGATTGTTGACTTTTTAGTTACTTTCTAGGACAGGTCTAAAGTAGGCTTTCATAGGCTTTTTTTTTGGAAGACTGTTCATTTAACTACCTTTAGCTTATGACGCATCCTATCAGTCCTCCTTATTTGAACCGGATTTACTCTTACAAATTCAGGAGAGGTGATAGCAAAGTGTCCACTTGCACAAAATGGGCAGCAGACACAAGTATTAGTCCTTAATTATCGGTTCATCTTGCCCATATTGCCTACTAAATCTGGGTGCCTGCTTCTTAGTGCCTTAACTATGGATTCTTCAGACTATTCTTTAATGTTGTGACTAGACTACGATAAATAATTCAAGACTGAGAATAGATCACAGTACTTTCAGAAGGGTGCATAAAACATGAGTAAATCTTAGAAATATAGTAATCACTTAATTGGTAAGTCTTCAAAGACATACAGTATATGCTTTTTTTAAAAACCAAATAATTATTGTACTTTGTCTGAAGTGGAAATACTGGCCTGGATGTAATGAGGCTTGGTAACAATAGTACCAGTTAAAACTAATGTTAACTGTCCCCAGTCACTAGTATTGCTAGTTTCTCCAAGTCTGTATTAAGCAACCCAAACTTTCAGCCATTTAAAAATAAGACCTGTTTAGCGTCTAGCCACAACAAATGTTCAGGGTTAGGAGAAAAAAAAATATTGAAATACAATATCAGTTAATTGTAACTTTAAAAAAATAATCTGCTCAAATGTCATGGTTGTGAGAAGATAATAAATATTTTTTAGGGCCTATTGATTTTTGGAATTTTTAGAAGCTGTTTTCACAAAAACCTACATGGCTAATATCCAATGAATTAAATAATAATAATAATATTGTAAAGCGCAAAATACATAGGTCTCTATGCGCTAGAAATTTGCAAAAAAAAAAAAAAAAATAAATAAATAAAATAATAATAGTAATAATGACAATAAAATATTCATAACTTCACTAATACACAACTAATTTCCATCAAATAGACAGTGTTTTAAAAGAATTCAGGCAGAATTTCAAAATACCAAAAACTTAATTTTTGAATTTTTCCTACAAATGGCTGGTTTTGTGTGTTAAAATAATGTTGGAATTACCAATATATGCCAACCCATAGATTCCTAAAGATTAAACCACACCCTAGCTTATGGTGTGTTTTTTAATAACATGATACCAGTCTTGTCTTTTATACATGCTTTATGGGTAAGGTGACCTGAAGATGTTAAAATCTGACCTACTTTCAGTTACCCGATACTGCTGTATAATACAGTTTGAATATTAATGATTTGTTGATAAATTAACACTAATTTGCATTATTATGTGTTAAATTACAATACATATCAATGATTTTGGCATTAATGTGTTTAAACTATGTACAGTACTTTTACTTTTGATAATTTTAATGCAAGAAAAAAAAAGGTTTTGAGTATAGTACCGTCTGTATGATAACAGTATCTTCCTTCTGTAAAAACATAAATTAAGGCTTGATTCAGGGACATTCTTAACATTCAGGGAAAAATTTATGATCCACCAAGATGTCGATAATTGCTTGTTCGGCTAACGATTTACAGGAAATGATCCATTAATGTAGTATCAGAAATATTTCAATTTGTTTTTTTTCTTATGTTGCTACAAATACAATACATCGCAATTTAGTATAAAACATATTAATATTACTAATTATAATAGTACATTTATTATAGATGTGTTCTGTTGCTAATTATCTAAAGATTAATTTGAAAGTGCAGAATTTCTAATCATTGTTGGTGGTAATAGTGGTGACTGTATGGTGGTGATGGTTGGTATGTGCCACTTCTCCCATACTATCAACTACCAAAGTTTACTCTACACAGTACTTAGTCGAGACTTTTTATACCATGTTTAGCTAACCTGCCTAATGCAAATATTGATGATTTGGAATAAAAATGAAATTTATTTTTGGCCAGTTGGCGCACCCCCACCACCAAAAAATTGATATTTCTCAAAAAAAATAATTGTTTTTTAAAAGAATTTTTGTTACGCCCTCCACTGCCTTGAAATCTCCAAAGATAAAATATGTATATTTCTTCCTAATTATGTAAATTTGAAGCATTTAACCATTCCATTTTACATTTACCAATAAAGTTATATTTTTATTTTCTCCTTTGGATGTTTTTGGAAAAACTATTGCTAAATAAGAAAACAAAATTGTATTTCTATTTTTATTCTGCCCTCCTCCGATGATCTTGAAAAAAATAAGTATGTGATACAAGGAATAAAATAATTCTCGCCTTAACATGAATAATAATAGAAGTCAATATCTAACCGGCATTGACTAAGTTTGTCAGAGACATCTGATTGAGTTTGTCAGATACATGTTTTGAAAGCCACCTAACTGATGGTACAGTAGCCCTTGTATGTGTGTTGAACTGTGGAGATTTTGGTCCCGGTTCAATTATATCCATTGCTGCTTGTGTTTCAGCCGGAGGTTGAAATAGCAAACCGTAAAATATTTATATATTTTTCATGTGCTATCCTTGGTGTATCTCACCTCGCACCTAAAAATAAGGTCTATTCCATGCCTGGCATAACAACAAACATCTTAATATTTATGTTTGAGATGTTAGTAGATGAGTGTTGATAGTAGAAGGCATAAAAAAGTGCAAAGGCAGCACTTTATTTTTTATTGCACTAAGCATGGTGTTCAACTGGTGTGCCCTACTTCTTTACTGCACCTGCTTTAGTGTAAAGACTTTGATATAACCTGTACTGGATCTACAGTAGTACCCCTCTACCATATGTCCAACTGTATTTTTTGTCATTAAATTATTGCCTGTTATTAATATACCTACAATAAATTATTTTCTGTTTTGTTCTTCTCTAGGGGATATTACTGATAAAGGATTTGAAAAGAAGAAGACAAAGTTACTTGCGCCATATGTCCAACAACAGATAGGTGAGTGCTTTAAAGATAATTTTGACCAATAAAATTTAAAAAAAAATTAAATATTAGTTAATTTTTACTGCTGTTTCCATCCCACACTAAATGAATTTTACACTCTATTATAATGGATCTTAAAATGTTATTGTTGAATTATGAAATGAGTACGGTACATTTTTTTAAGGTAAATTATTTAACAGATTTTACTGGTAGGATTGTAGAAAGTCATTACCCTTTCAGTTTGGGAATATTTATGCAATGCAGTGGAATCTTACAACTCATTATTATTAATTTTTTTATAGATTTCTTTATGGGAAGGGAAGTTTAATTCAACAGTTGGAATGAAATGAAGCATACATAATTTGTAGCCTTACTTTCCCCCCTTTCCTGACCCTCACATTAGTGCTAAAGTTTCTAGGTCAATTTCCAGCCAATAAAATAATACGCCCTTGCGTTGATGATGTGGAAATTAAATTTAATATTGTGTGATACCGAGCAGTTATGTGTGCCATTTTTGAATAGAAAAGTAAGGTTTGAAATATTGTATTGAATAGAAGAAAATTTGATATAATTCATCTTAACATGATTATTAAATTTTTTTATTTTAAAAACCTATCACACCACTATTTAGTGCACTTGCTAATTACAGTATAGGATGCAGTTAGGTGGTTGCGCTGTTACTCCGTTGACGTACTATACATGGCATGGGATCTGAAAAAAAGCTGTATCTTTTAAACCAACATTCTACAAACTTTTTACTAGAGATTCTAAGCACCAAGCCTCGGCCCAGCTTCGCCAGGGACCAACATACCAAAACCTAAAAAGAAGTTCCGATCATGAAAATTACTTCCATGTTGATACATAATTCAACATCATGTGTTCTAGTAGTAGTTGAAAAAATTTCGTACAAACTCAATCTATTGCAGTGATGAAGCAGTTTTACAATAAGTAAATCTGATTTTTTTTTCTCTCCTGGATGACTTCGCAGCCCTCCAAAAATGTTTTGCAACCCATAATTGGGCCATAGGCCATAGTTTGCTGAACATCATTATATTAAATAAATTCAATCAGTCAATCTCGCTCCTTTACTGATAAGACTGTCATAATATTTATAGGATATTCCTTATTTATATGAGAATCTAGAGACGTTCGGTATTCATTACAGGATTTCATCATTTATTAATAAGCTCTGACACATGGATTTATCAGCAAGTAATTAGTATGTTGCTTTATTTTGTATCAATTTGTAGTGGACAGATTTTAAGTGTTGGTCTTGTTTCGGTAACTTTTCTGTATTCTCTGTATTTTAAGACTGTTCATTCTGCAAGTGGCAATATATCGCTGTATGTTTAAAAAAATAAAGAAATATGAAACATCCTTTTTACTAAAATATGTGTGTCCCGAGGAAAGTTTTTTTGTCACTAACTATAATATAAAATCTGATAGGTAGGTACTGTAGCGCTACTGGAAATCTGTAGTAGCGCTACCTGTCAGTATCATGTGCAAGTAATAGCGCTGTTAAATGCTTGCTTGCATAGTAAAAAGCAGGTTACCAGTATGAATAATGTTGTCCACTGTAATGGCAACCATTGGCCTCTCTGCGTGATATCAAATTCAAACTCACATGGAAGGACTTGTAAGTAATGTTTTAAATATAGACAGTTATCGTAATTCTTCATCACTTTGTTTTTCTTATTTTATGCATGAAAATATAAATGTAATAATGAAGAGCAGATGCATTGTTTCCTGACTTGTGTTGTTGTACCAGCAAAATACATTACTGCAAACATTTTATGATTAAACGACTCCAGTGAGTATTAATATAAAACTAGTAGTAAATGTATTTTAAAATCAACATAAAATCCTGTTATTTTCCATTAAAATTATGCAATCTAATTCCAAATATTAAAATAAGATGTATAGGTACTGAACATTAATGTCAAAATGCCTGTCAATTTGTGGATAATGTTTACAAAATACAAAATATCGTAACAATAAAAAATACATGAAAAAATGTATATCATTAATAAAACGTCAAATCAAAACAATATTTTATTAAATATAATATACACAGTTTCCATGAATAAAATTTGCTTACAAATAATATTACAAACAAGGGCAATAAAAAAAATTACATGAATAAACATTAATTTAAATAAAAACTTTTAAAAAGTAATTAAAATCATATTGTTATGTGTACATTAAATCATGCTACAGAAAGCAATTTGTATTAGAATGTCCATAATTTATACCTACAGTAGATTTTGAAATAAATTATACTGTATAGTATGTTACAGCTACTTTATAAAACATTAAATATACTGAGAATACCATTAAATTGCAGATGTACAAAACTATGGAATCTTCAAATTCGTAAATGCTGTTGTTTACTCTAATGATAGTACTGCACTTGTTTACTTATTATTTGTGATGATTAATTAATTAATTATTCTAAAATAGTAACTGGTATATGATGAGTCACAAGGGAGTATTCCGCATTACGTAATTGTCAATATCCCATTCATTGTGTTAATCCTCAATTCAGTCAACAAACTTGCACTTTTATTTAGTATAATCCAGTGGTATTATTATGACTTATGTAGTTCCTGTAGGATTTTCAACCCTAATGATATTGATGACCTACTAATAGTAATTGTAGGAAAGTTGACTTTTATACATGCATAAAGAATGTTTACCTTCACTAAAAGTGGGAGCATGTGAAATTTACGATGTTGTTGTTAGACTCTGTTTCCGATGAAGTTTGAGTGCTGAATGCATTATTATCGACTTCACCCTGCATCATAACTTCACCAAATATTTATTGCAGTACGTTATTTAATAATTGGTTGGTTTTTATTGGTCGTATGACCAATGTAGTTGGAGTTTTCAGTAAGGAAATGTTATTTTATGATGACTTATATTTGTCAGCAGGTTCTCTTCCTGAAATAAAAAATAAATTATTTGGTTTAGTGGTATGTTTAAAAATGATCTCAGTAGAATTTCATGTTTGATACTTTATGATGGTTTATTTTGTGTAGGTCTGTTTAAGGTTTGCCTGTAAATATTGCTGTTGTTGTTAATTATCAAATTTAATTTCATGAGGTCCACCCATCTTGAGCTTTACATGACTATGCCTCATTCTGTTACAAATAACATCCTGCTTTAATTTATTATTAACCTATTGTTTACCAAAATTTTCTGATCAATTATACAAGAGGAGGAAAAAATGTCAGGTCAATATGTTGCATGAAACATGTAAATAAAAAAACAAATAACTTTCAATTTTAACTGGAATTTGTAGAGTAATGTTCGATTGATAAATGACATTGGCTGTGTGGCAGAGCATTTCTGTCAGGTTTAAAAACTTGATTCTTTGTGACTCTGATATTTGCCTTTACTGTGTATCTTTAATAACAGCGTCCATCTCTCTGTGTACATAATGGTTTCCGCTCTGAATGTATACACTGTGTGTTTAGAATGTACATAGTTATAATGCATACAGGAGTGAAGAATTGATTAAAAGGGTGTCCACACAATCTTATGACTCACCAGTTGCCATGATGCTGTAGACCAGCCCTGTCTGACGTAGATCAGTCTAATAGGTAACTTATCCATCGCCTACAGAACTGATATTGGATGAAGCCAGCGCAAATTAGTATTACCATTCACAAGATTGTTGACCCCTACTTATTCTAAGCTCATTAATATATTCAGCAATTTAATATAAAGAAATAGTACTCTGCTGGAAATTAGATATTGTATGTCCTAAAAACATACCATAACATACTAACAACACTGCTTTCAAGATATTACTTCTTGATAAATGTTTATTAATGTGATATACTGTAGTGAGTTTATAGTTCACTGATGATAGTAGTAATGACTGTAGATTTCTTATGATAGAAAAATAGATGATAGAATAAGTCTGCAGATGATAATTGTTTTGTTTAATTATTTGTTATTAAATTTGTCTTAAGATTAAGGATTGTAAATAGTCTTGATGTCTCCTCTCTTGATCATGGACTAATAAACAAATGAGAATAAATAGCTGCATGGAAATTGTTACTTAAGACTCTGCATACATTATTGACTTAACCTTAGGGTTCTCTTGCTGTAGCTTTCAGTGTCTTCACAACATCGTATCCAATTGTAATTAGGCCTATACCAATTATAATTTTGTTTGTGATTTGTATATTTTATAGTTTGTAATATAATTAATCTAAGATTATGAAATCTATCTTTGTTTATTTATTCAGAACTTCACTTTTATTATATCTGTGGCACTCTTCTAAAAGGAAGGTGCGTCCAAGGAAAATTAAAAAAAATTATACAAATTAACAGAACTTGTGCAAAGAAATGGAAATCAGCAAAATAGCAATTTACATCATGTCTGATATAAATAGCCCATTGTAAATTAGTAATTTATATTTTTTAAGTGAGCCCTCTAGAGTTAGTTTGAATTAAAAATCAATTACTAGGACTTCGCCTAGTGAGAATTGTGTGAGGATAGGTTTCCCTGTGGTATAAACAACAATATTTTTTCCAGATTAAAATAGCCTGGGATGGTGGTTTCTGTTTGTTGATAAAAAGGCTATCATGCCATTGTTTTAGCTTAAATGGTTTCTTATCATAACATTTGTAGTTTCTATCATGATTGTTTGGCAAACATGTTTGTAGGTTGTATTCAGATTCATTTAAACTATGATGTTAGGCCAAATAAAATTTATTATTAGTTTCACGTCCAGAATTTGAAATTTTTTTTTGATGAGGGGCCTTTTTATTTGCTATTTGCTATTTTTTCGATGAAAGAAAATGGCGGTATGTAAAACACGGCATTCAATATTTGAAGCAAAAACAACCACTCTACATTGTATTGTAACACTTTTATTTTCATAAACATCTCAATTATTGTTTTTAAAGGATTTAAACCAAAAATATTTCATAAAATACAGTTATTCAAGATTAAAATAATAATATAATCAAGGTGTGATATTAAGAGTGAATTTTAAGTAACA